TTCTCATTTGGAAACCAGGCACCTCTTCCTCAGGAAGAACAAAACTCTCTAACTAAAGAAATAAAAGAATTGAAACAAAGAATAACTGAGCATCTAGAACAGCACAAAAACAACAGAATAAGGCTGCCTGCATTGAAGCTTGTTCCAAAGAAACAGCTAGCACAAACATTAAAAGATGCAAATACTGCAATATCAAGTATAAGCATCAATTCACTGCAAGAAACAAACCAACTAATGTACAGCACAACTGCAATTATAACTGAATACCTGGAATGCAAAATCAACAAAGAAAAACAAACAGTGCACCACAAAAATGGAAGGTTAGACTAGAAAATAAGATCAGCAAGTTAAGATCACATGCAAGCAAGCTAAAACAAACGAAAGATAAGAAGCTGAAGAACAAGAAGACCAAAGAATACCTAATCAAGAAATACCACTTAGAAACAAGGAAGATCAAGGAAGCACTGGAAATAATAAAGCAGCAAGTAACAGCTATAGCCAGGAAAATCAGTAGATACGAAGCTCGAATTGCAAATTATAAGCAGAACCTCCAATTTCAATCCAATCAGAAACGTTTTTACCAATCCATCAATGGAGACACTGCAGTACAACAGCATCTAGTTGAAAACAATCTCTTTCCACCTGAGCAGAAGGAAACCGCCCCAATAGCAGAGGAACAAAAGATCAACTCCTAATAGACAAAATGATCTTGGAAAACTGCAAGAAAAGGAAGACCAACCTGAATGTGGCATGGATTAACTACAAAAAGGCATTTGACTGGATGATCAAGTGCCTAGAAATCAGTAGAAACATCAGAAAATTTGTGCAAAGATCGATGGCATAGTGGAAGACATAGTTGCAGGTCAATGGTGAGAGACTGGGAGAGGTTAATATCAAGAGAGGAATATTTCAAGGAGATTCATTATCACTACTACTATTTGTTATTGCACTGTTTCCTCTGTCAACAATACTGAATAACTCAGGACATGGCTATCAAACATCAAAAACATCTGCCAGACTATCCCACCTCCTTTACATGGATGATCCGAAGCTGTATGGAAAAACATCATCTGAAATAGAATCGCTGCTCAACACTGTCCGTACATATAGCCAAGATATTGCAGTGGAGTTTGGCTTGGACAAATGTGCCACACTTACTATCAAACAAGGAAAAATAGTGAAAACTGAAGGAATAAGATGCCCCACGAAAATAACATTAAGAGTCTGGATGAGGAAGATTACTATAAATACCTGGGTATCCTTCAAGCTGACAACAAGTCAAGAAAAAGATTAGAGGTGAAGTCAAGAAAAGTCAAGAAAAAGATTAGAGGTGAATACATCAAGAGAGTGAAGAAGATCTTAAAGTCCAAACTCAATGGAGGAAATACCATAAAGGCAATCAACACCTGGGCAATTCCAGTCATTAAATACACAGCTGGAATAGTGGACTGGACTCAAGCAGAACTAAAAGCAATGGATAGGAAGACCAGAAAAATAATGACAATGAATCATGCCCTTCATCCACGCAGTGACATTGACAGACTCTATCTACTAAGGCAAATAGGTGGGCGTGGAATGCTGCAAGTACATCAGAAGGTTGAAGAAGAAAAATGGCTTTGGAAGAATATCTGAAGGACAATGATGAAGATGCACTGAAATTAGTATATCAGGAAGGCTTACTGACTAATGGAGAGACCAAACTGGCCTACAAGAAAGACCAAATGAAGAACAGAATAGAGGAATGGGAAGACAAAGCACTACATGGCCAGTACATAAAAAAAATAGCTGGGAAAGCAGATAATAATAAGATGTGGCAATGGCTAAGAGCAGGAAAAGTGAAGAGACCGAGGGACTAATTCTGGCTATACAAGACCAAGCCTTAAGGACAAATGCATACAAAGTCAAAATTGAGAAGACAGCAACAGACAGTAAATGCCACCTATGTAAAGAAGCTGAAAAAACAGTGGACCGCCTGGTAAGCTGCTGCAAGAAGATCACACAGACTGATTACAAGCAGCGGCATGACAAAGTAGCAACAATGGTGCATTGGAAGATCTGCAAGAAATATCATTTCCCTGTAAGCAAGAACTGATGGGATCATAAAATAGAGAAAGTCATAGAAAATGATAAAATTAAACTGCTCTGGGACTTCAGAATTCAAACAGACAAGCACCTGCAACATAACACCTCGGACTTAACAATTGTCGATAAGAAAGACAAAAAAGTCTGGATATTGGACGTGGCAGTGCCTGGAGACAGCAAATAGACAAGAAAGAACTGGAGAAGATAACAAAATACAAAGACCTACAAACAGAAGTAGAAAGACTGTGGCAAAGGCAAGCAATGGTAGTACCAATAGTAATAGGTGCCTTGGGTACAATCCCAAAACAACTGGAGCATCACTTGTATATGTATCCATTTGTATTTCCCTTAATTTTCCCATTTCTTCTCCATGCACTCCCAAATTGTGGTAATGGAATATTTTTTTTATTGTTTTATTTATTGTATTTATTGGCCACCCATCTTTCTACAGGATAACTTGGAGGCAATCTTGAAGGACTTTGGGACTGTCCACCCTAAGGAAAGATCCGGATTCTTCTGGAATAAGCTTTGAGCCAGCAATTGTTGAGTCGTTTTTTTCAGAGTAGCAAGAAGGTGCACCAAATGATTAAATGCTGAGCCAAGATGATGAGGGTGAAATGAAGTCAGCCAGAGCTGAATCTGGTATGTGGGGAGCATGCTGAGGTCAGGATTGGTTGTTTTTCTCCCTCCAACTTACAATTGCTCAGCAACATCTCCCACATGTCATCCTATTTGCCTCCCTCCCTCCCTCTACTGCTGTGATTTATGCAGAAAACTTGTAGGAAAGGGGAAGATGTTGTTGGGAATTCTTGGATTTAGAGGGACAAAAGTGAGGTGGGGAAAGAAAGCTACTGAATCAAAGGTGTTGCATATTCAAGGAAGGCACAATTTAGCAAGAACAGATTAATGAAATAAAACTGTGTCTGAGAATTTGGCTGGAAGCGTTGAGCCTGGCAATGAATTTCAATAATTCCTGAGTCAGACCTGAGCAATCCTGTTAGGTATTGCAAAATATTCTGTAGTCAGATTCTTACAGCCAGTGCTGATTTAAAAGGTCAGAGATATATGGTCTGGTTTACCCCCCCTATGGAGTAAGGGTTATAAATACACAATTATATTTCATATAATAGTTCCAGCCTTGCCAGAGAAACAGAGAAGCAGCTGATGAATGCCTAGGAAGCCAACTGGAATGCTGGTCTCCAAGGATGCTTTCTGTATTGGCATGCCTGTTAACAGCTGGGAACTATTCAGCATGACAAGCACCTGACTCCAAGCTCCCCATCTTCAGGGGCAAAAAAAAAAAAAAAAAGATAGATTCCTACATGTGTGAAACAATTCCCTGGGGGATTTCTCCTCCTTGTATTTTCTCATCACTATACAACAGAACAATTATGTTGTGCAATTGACACTAACCATCTGACTTGACAGAGGCCTCTTCTCACTAAGACTGTTTCCATCTTAAAACTTCATCATAACAGCATTTCAGCATTGCAACAGGAGGAAATGTTAATGCAGTGAATTCCATAGTGATGATAGTAACATTAAGGAATATATGTGATGTTTATATATTCTAATATCACATCCTCCTGACCTTGGTCAGTAATATTTAACAAGAGAAAGCTCAAATAAATTTCAGCCTGCAAATATTTTTCTGTAATGAGTAGACAATCCAGAAGAAAAATTACAGATGGTATTTTTTTTGCAGATATTGTATCTCCTCCTACGTCAAGGAACAACAGGCAACAGGCTTCATCAACCTGTTGGTTTTTAAGTGGGCTACATCTCATAATGAGCATTTTGACCTTTGTTGATCGCCACGTCAGGTGCTTTGACCATTAGGTACATTGAGACTTCTCATTACCCCAAAACATAATGGCCCTGTGGAAGGAGGGTGAGGAACACACATGAAGAACACACATCTGCTGGGCTTCAGCTTTTTATAAAGGTTTTTGAGGGGTCCTTGGTGCTCTCTGAGCTTGGTTGTTTGCTTGCAGACATTTCATTACCCAACCTAGGTAACTTCATCAGTGCTAGTGGACTAGCACTAATGATTTTACCTAGTTTGGGTAATGAAAATCTGCAAGCAAACAACCAAACTCAGAGAGTACCATGGACCCCTCATTTGAACCCTGAACTACAAATATTCTCCTTTATTGATAAAAAGGGTTTTAATTAATATTAGTAGTTTCTCTTTTTATGAAACCCTGTGTGCTCTTCTCTCATCTCTTTTCCCCCACATTTCTTTTTCCTGACTTTTCCCCACAGTGTTCCAAGTCCTCAAATCCACTCCAGCTTTCAGCAGCCACAGATAAGACTCATTCTGCAACTGTTGGGGAGTTATCCTTGTCACACGATTGATTACTTTATAGAGCATTTATCCTTTAGCCTTTTTATCAGCCTTAAAGAATCCTTCTGTCTTCACTCCCAGATAATAGCAACTCCTTCCAGCCTTTCAGCTGGAGTACATGGCTTTCCTAGCTAGAAAAAATTTCTTGGGAAGTTGTCAGAATAAAAAGATGGCCCTCCTAGGGTAGGTGTTATTTTACCAGGTTTATACCTCATCTTTTCTACTAGCAGTATTGCTGCTGAGACACGGCAGATGTAACAAGTACTATCTTTCTAGCCACCCCCTTCTTCTTCCTAACGCAAGTAGAAATCTGAAACAGGGTTCAAAATTGTTTATACTGCATCCAATTTCCCTGATGTGAAGCCATTTGATTCTTGACAAATTCAGTATATTTCAAGAACAGAAACCTTTGTAGTAATTGATTTAGAGAAATCTTCCTTTATAACTCCTCTCCCCTGCTTCTGTCCCTGAAACTTGTGAAGTTTGTGGAATTGAAAAAGATTAATTAGGGCTTACACAGATGATGTTAAAACACCGTTTCCAGGCCCTAGACCCTCCCTGAAACTAGACTATGTGTTTTTCAGTAAACCAAGAAGAGTTCTTGGAGTACTCTTACAACCAAACTCTGAGAGCACCAAAAACTCCACAGCTCTTGGATTTTATGCCAAGTAAGAACATTCTCAGATTTTGTGGTTCTCAGTTTCAGAAGTGTGTGCTTTTTTAAACTAAGAAAGATGTTTAATAAGTAAGAATAACACATTGAAAGATTCTACAGCTTGATTATACAGCTACTTGAATCTGTCACTGTCGTCTGCCATGCACTGATTTATATAAGAAATGTATTTGTCATTTGACTTGCCCTAGAAAATTAACAATATGATCTCTCTTCATTTTACAGCACAAAAAAGAATAGGAAATTGTATGCATGTGTGTATATCTTTCTATGCAAAACAAGACCACAAGAAAAGGTTATAATTTGGATTATTTCTATTCAGCGTTCCAGTCTCCAGCCCTGCTCTTCTCTATTCCAGTTCTTTTCCCACCAACTTTTTATTCTTTCCAACCCAAAAGAATTTTGGAAAAATTATGTAAAGAGGCTCAGGAGTGCCTGCCCGTCTGTGGGTCAACATGGTAATGTTTTAAAAAAACTTGAACAGAATAGGATTAAATTTGATGTGGCTGGAGAAGCCAGCAAAAGATAGACTAAGTTTGAAAATCAGCCATATCTGGCAACATACTGTAGCTATGGAGAAAAAAAACCCAGAAAGAAAATTCCCTAATGCATCCTTATGCAGAACCAACTGCAAAGCATATTGATTGATTAAATATGGGCCATAAAATCATTTTCAACTCCTAGCAGCTACACAGATTTTTTCCCCATGATGATCTATCCTTAATCTGTTTGTCTCCCAATGGTGCACTCATTGCCACTATAGCTGAGTCCATCCATCTTGCTCTTATTCTCTGCAAGAGGAATAAGGGGACCAAAATAGTGGGCAGAACTGCAGATTGAAGCCCCATCCCTTGCTACATATGTATGACTGATGTACATACACTGGGTGGGGCTTTGATGGCTGCCATTTTGGTCCCCTTGGATCCTTTTTTGCAGTGGGTTCTGTGAAGGAGAGCAGAGAGGGCAGACATTCTTGAATGTGGCAGACTGCTCCATTCTAAGACCCCTTCCTCGCCTTTCCTGGCCTTGTGATCCAGAGGAAATTTCCCCTTTAGTGGTCCCCCACCCCCTTAATTTTGTAATTTATAAACCTTTGAGTTTTGGGATTTTGAGAGGGCTCCCTAAAGATTCCTACTCACCTGAACTAGAGAAAAATAGAAGGAATGCTACAAGTTTGCAGTTTAATAAAGTTCTAAAGATTCTCATCCTGAGAAAATTACAATCTCAACTTAAAGCAGATAAAAAGAAAAGAAGAGAGATCCAGGAATAACCTGAATGTGTTTTTTAAGATATACATTCTTAGGTTTAGTAACATTTTGGAATACAACTAAGCATTTCTGCCAAAATCTTCGTGGAAAAGATGAGTTTTGTAAAGGAATTTAGGGAAAATAAGGCACTGATATGCCACAAGGAAGAGGGGGGCAATTTATTCTCCAAAGCGCCTGAAGGCAGGACAAAAAGCAACGGATGGAAATTAATCAAGGTGAGAACCAACCTAGAACTAAGGAGAAATTTCCTGACAGAACAATTAATCAGTGCTATGACTTGCCTCCAGAAGTTGTGGATGCTCCAACACTGGAGATTGTAAAGAACAGATTAGATTTGTCTGAAATGGTATATAAGGTTTTCTGCTTGAGCAGAAGGTTGGACTTCCAAGATCCCTTCCAACTCTGTTATTCTGTTATATCTTCATATCACCTTTTGCATTCTGTATGAATTCAATAAACTAGTTCTTATGATTTGATTATGAGCCTATTATTAAACAGCAATTGGCTACAGTCATATAACACACCACGCTATAACTATAGTTTACAAGCCACAGTAGATGGGCTACAAAACACACTAAGCCAAAATCAAGCAAAACACATTATGTCTTTGTCTGCTCTGCAGAGCTGCTAATTAGTCAATGCATTGCTTACCATGTTGTGCAAACTCTCTTCTATGGTTAATATATAAATCAGTGAGCTGTGTAAAGAAAGAAAATTGGGTGAATTATACTACAATTCAATTGACCATGATAAGTTTTAGAGAAATAGACATTGGTTTAAATGTTGCCTCAAAATATCCTATAGAGTAACCTTTTGTGTCTATCTAAATATTTAGCAATTGACCCAAGTCCTATACTTGCAAAAATGGAAAATGTAATGGGCAAGACACATGAAAAAATTCTGTTGGAAGGAATGAGACTTTAATCCCAGCAAATTCTCACTTACCCTCTTTTGTTGAATTGTGCCTTATGCCCAAACAAAGCAATGGCTTACCCAAGCTATATGATACAAAGAACATCTTGTATTTCAACTTATTTTTCCTAACTTTTTTGTTTTGTCATTTGATTCCTGTCTCTTAGATCTCCTGGCCACTAACCGCTCAGTCCTGTTTCTTGGTCACCGGGGAAGTTTAGACTTTCGCTCCCTGTACCTAGATGAATACCGTGACCGCCTATTCATTGGAGGAAAGGATACCCTTTACTCGCTTCGGCTAGACCAAACCAATATGGATGTTAAGGAGGTAATGCTCTTAAGATGGATTGTTTGCAGCCAGGTATTTGTAATAGTACTGATTATTTACATAAGAATAATTAAAATTTGCTCCCCATGGTCCTTCTTCATGGTGGCTTCTAAAAGGAGACTATTCTACTGATTCTCATAAAACATAGAATGAGAGAAGCCAGAGACTATGGCTTATTTATGGCCATCAAATGGATTCTGTACTCAGCTGAGATTGGAACTATAAGTTCTCAGATCATTCTATATTAGGAATGTATTTATTATATGGTTTTATTAGTGATTAGCATCTAGCTCAGTGGTTCTCAACCTGTGGGTCGGGACCCCATTTGGGGTCGATCGACCATTTCATGGGGGTCGCCAAGCAAGGCTGTCCGCCATTTTTTTTGTCCGCCATTTTTTTTGTCTGCCATTTTTTCCCCCTTTTCTGGCGGGTGCCTTACCTCCCTTGGGCTGGGCCAGCTGGTGGTCGGCCTGCTCCGTCTCTGCCGCTTGCCAGCTATGCCTCGGCTGGCGCAGGGGGCGGAACCACGCATGCGCGGCGCTTCCGGGCAGGGAAAGTCCTTGACTTACGACCGGTTGGGTAGTCCTCAACTTACGACCGGTTTAGTCCTCGACTTACGACCGGTTTAGTCCTCGGCTTACGACTGGTTGGGGTCGCGGCGTTAAAAAGGTTGAGAACCACTGATCTAGCTGATCTTGTCTGCACCCCAAGCTAAGCAGCCTGGGTAGTACCTGGTGAATGGAGTGCTAGGACTGCAACCTAGACTGGGAAGGATCCTTACTTCCCACCCCAAAAAATGACAATGGCAAGTTATTTCCCTGTTGTTGCCAAAAAAATTACATGAACGTGTCTGTGAGATCATTAGGGGTCAAGCTCAGAAAAGTGGAAAGAGACTTCAGTTTGAATAGTTTTCTAAGAATCTGACTAGTTAGAGACCTACTTTGGAGAAAAAAGGGACCTGCTTGCAGTGGGGATAAATAGGACTAAGGTAGCAGAGAAGAAGACTTCAAATCCTAGGTTTTGGACAGCAGGACTGGTTGCCCATTTCACTGGAAGAGTGGCAGTCTAGAGCTTGCAGATTATCAGTTCATCCCACTGTGGATGTTCTGGCTGCTTCTCCATGACCATAGAAGCAAATGGAGAGAGAAATTATTGGATTTCCTGCTGTGTAAAAAATTGAAAATCAATTTGGAAGCAGCCATCTGTACCATTTATGGGAACTTTTTGCAAATTGTTGAGATACTAAGAGTTTGCCTCTATACTTGTGTTTATTAACCTTAGTTATATATTTCCCTCTTGCTGGCCAGTTTAAATATTATTGAGAAAGCTTGCCATAAAATGTATACTTAACATTAATCTTCTACATGATAATAGTCAAGTGCATCTACAAACACACTGAGTTGTGTTTGTTTTTATTAAACAAATGTTTAACAAGATAAAACAATATAAATTTTAGAAACGAAATAAATAAAACAGAGGAGAAATAGTGAATAGATAAGAAAGAAAACAGGAAAAAGAATACAGGAAAAAATGATAAAGAAAAGATTATAAAAAGTGGCTCCCAGTTTTCTTAGCAGCCGTTATAAATGTTTTTATATTTTGTCCTCTCTCTCTTAAGTTTACATCATAATTTCCTGCTTTCCAAAGTCTACCCTTTCTAATCAAAAGTTCGTTTCCCCCTTCTTTTGCAAAAGGTCCATAAGCGGTTTCCAATCACTAAACGTGATTATTGTCTTTCCCTAATCAAACAGGTCAATTTTGCCTTCCATTTTAATTCTGTTATTTTCAGCAGTCATTCCTCCTTTGTGGATATTTCAGAGGGTTGCATATTGGTTTTTATTTATCTCTGTGTGTGGTTTTAAATGTGCTCATTGAATGTTGCTCTAGCATGACCAAGCACTTTTCAGTAGTTTTAGATGAGGATATTAAATCATCCCTAGAGGAGATTTTCTTGCATAGAGGTTGAAACGTGAGATGGACAGAAGGAGCTCTGCAAAGTCAGACCTAAGTTCTGCTAGAGTCAAACTTTCTTCAATAGAAGCCAGAAATGTGACACTAGATTGGATAGATGGATGAGGGATTTGCAAAACATACAGCCCAAAAGAGATTATATTGCAATTAAAATAATTGAAAGCATGGGAAGCTGAGACACAATCAAGTTTTGAGTAATTTATAGAAGTTTACAGAAGGATTTCTGCCATACATGTAAAATGAGTAAATCAACTCCTAGGTCAACCTTAGTATAAATTGAGATAGGAAATGAGATCTGACGGGTTAGGAGTTTTTAGTACAAGTACTGTGCAAACTTCTTAATGGTAATTGTTTTGTTTCTTTGTTCATTAATTCTGTGAGATAGGCCATTTACACTTAGTATTCGGATATTTCTTTTTTAGTTCTGATAGATCTCCCTTAGACCGGTTACTCTTTAATTTAGGTCTTAAAAAAAGGAGAAAACCAGACCGGTTGTAATATAAGAGATTTAGTACGTACACCTTCTCTTAACGAAGTAGGGTAAACACGTTCCTACATATAAGTCACTTTCGATAAACGTTTACGTATTCTGACGTCTTTAAAGGTAAATTTATGGACTGTGTCCCATTTATTCTTTGTGGGATCACTGTAAATGCACAGATCTAATGTGACTTGGAACATATGTGTAAGTAAATTCTATAACTAATGTAATGGGATTTGTTCAGTGATTTGAAGAGAGACAATCTAATTGGTTTAGTCAAGATAGGGTTTCCATCGAAGGCTGTCTTCTTTGTATTATTGGTTTCTGCCTGGCCCACATGAGTCATAACAAACTTTTCCTCCAAGCCATGTAAAGCCACTGTCTAAATCTGGTCTTACTGAATCAGTCAATAAAAGAAAAGTCATTTCATTAATCTGAAGAATATAATAGATGCAGTGACAACAGAAGAAACCTAGTTATATCTGTACTGTACCTAGACTGAAGAGATTTATGTGTATGGATGTTTGAGAGAAGAGGGAATGCAATAGATATCCTCTGAGTATGCAGATATATATGTCTTGGCATTAATTCTGCCTTCTTTAATCTGGTTCCCTCTAGAAGTTTTTGGGTTTAATTCTCATAATCACTAGCCAGTATCATCATTAACTAGATGGAAGGTTGTAGAGGAAGTCTCCATTAACTTTGAAAAAGTAGGAATCCAGCAAGTAGGGCAGTGGTTCTCAACCTTTTTAATGCCGCGACCCCAACCGGTCGTAAGTCGAGGACTAAACCAGTCGTAAGTCGAGGACTAAACCGGTTGTAAGTCGAGGACTTTCCCTGCCCAGGAGCGCTGCGCATGCGTGGTTCCGCTCCCTGCGCCGGCCGAGGCGTAGCTGGCAAGCGGCAGAGACAGAGCAGGCCGACCACCAGCTGGCCCAGCCCAAGGGAGGTAAGGCACCCGCTGGAAAAGGGGAAAAAATGGCGGACAAAAAAAATGGCGGACAGCCTTGCTTGGCGACCCCCATGAAATGGTCGATCGACCCCAAATGGGGTCCCGACCCACAGGTTGA